TCCCAAAAGACGCCGAAGCGGTAGGCATTTCCACTTTCTTAAATAAAACTGAGGGTGGCATCTTTTATTGCTTTATCCACTGGCGCATTTTGACGCCCCTGGTGAATCTGACCCCTGTGCGGGGGCACATTCCTAGGCCGGCCCTGTTCACGGTGGTAACAAACACTTGAGTTTAATACTGGATGAGAGTTGCGGCACGTAAGCTACTTGGTGCAAAATTGAGGATTTATGTGGAAATTGCATGTTTGGACAAACGATGGTGTTGCCGGCACTACAACGGGGATCACCTATTCCAAGCTTATGGTTAAGACTTATCAATAACTGGCAGTAAGCGAAGGTGCCAATATATCGAGGGTTGGCTGTACTGTACAACTTTGGAATGTTAAAATCTCATAGTGACCATCCCTAAGATGAGTGAGCCTTGAGGCCTTCAAAGACGTCCGGAATTAGAGCTTGATATGGAAGGCCGAACAGGAAGAAGCCTGGAGGTGAGTCCCTCCTCTTACGAGATCGTCAGAAGGTGTGGCGACCAAACATGTAAAGTTTGATGTGAGTAATGGAAAGACATCGTTTCGGGACTGGAGAGGTACCAAGTCCCGTGGAGCAATCCACGTGACCGAGTGTCTGGGGGTCCGGGGAGAGGGTGTATCGATTCCTCGCTCCCCTTCCCTATTTCAGGAGCCCAGCCCACGGTCCTGGGGTATCGAAAGTTCTAGCAAGTGCGCAATTCCTCTTCACCTCGGTCGTCTGGTCTCCCATTTTCGTCCCCTTTAATGCTAAATAAAATTAACCCAAGTAAAAATGAATGTACCCATTCCATGCAGATAAGGAAATTAAGACGCTCTCAGATGACACTTAAGCAAGCTTTGAGTGTGCCTTCCATGCCTGCGGTAGACGGTCCTTTTCTTTCGAACACAAATCAATGGAATCTATTCAAAAGCGACTTTTATTACAAAAAAGGAGAACTCTCATGCTTTCCAAGTTCATCATTGCACATTGAAAGGAAAAATACATCTTTTCTCTCTTTTCCAAACATCAGAATATACTAGTCTACAGGCTTAATATCCTGAAAAGCTACGAAGGTGAACACCACCACGAGATTTTTAAAGATGCCTTCAAAGTGATATGAAGTAACCAGATACGAAAAAGAGAGCCATACAGGAGAGCGACGCCACACAAGAGAAACAATGCACTTTTTTAAACCCCAGCAGCGGTAGTACACCATCATGGGTGACAGGATGTGTGAGGGGGAGGACCAGATTGCTTAGAATAAAATGCCTTGACAAACAGCTCCAATCGAGGGTAACGCTAGGTATTGCACTTTTCCCCATGTAAATGAAAATCCAAGTGTTTGGAGCTATTAGCCTGTCTGACCAACGTGTGAGTCGGATCTGGACGAGATCCCTGACCAAGACAAGATAATGATAGAATTCTTATACTTCCAATCGAGATTTTGTTTCATATGCCAGATGTACTAGAGTAGCTCAAATGCAGAATGTCGACCTTTATTTTCCTCCGGATAAACCTGTCTACGCTAACTTCATCACAACAACCGTTACAGGCACCACGAAGAATAAACTATGCCATATCACAGGATTCTGGAATAGACCATTTTCGATAATAGCTTTGATAAGTCCACGCTCGACACTATTAACTTCTCCTTTCAGAAAGCCATTCTTGAGTGCAATTGTGATTATGAGCAGACAAAGCAAAGCATTGTTCCTTGCACAGAGGAGATAGCTATCACCTCCTTCCCATTAATCGCCGGCACGTCAGGATCGTCAGTCAACCCGTTTTCGGCCACGGAAACTGAATTCAAGGAAGAGGACAGTCTGTCATCACAAGGGGGGGGGGGAGGGGGAGCCAATCAACGACAATATGCCGTCCAATTGGTCGTTAAGCAGCAATACTGCAGAGGTTCCAGGACCAGATAGACAGCACTGTAAAGTGATCTGGCACCCATAAAAATCACTTCCTCTCACCTGAACGTAGTAATCCAGACATGGTCAAAGATTCCAGAACACAAGGAAAAAGACATGAACCAGAGGACTCGAGAAGCAGCAGTAAAATAAAATAAAAAGCATGCTGAGGTGCAATATAGGCAAGTATTGGGATGAAAGTAAATGGAAACTAACAGGCAGAAGGAGTCACTTTGGCACTAAATTCCCTGCTAAGAAAAAGGCAGTCGCCTTGAGATAACTAATTCATGTCCAGGTCTCCGGTCTCCCTATGTAATGCAGCATTTTGCAACGCTGCATACTTACAATATATTGCACGTAAAAATAAACATCTTAAAAAAATAGGTACCCTAAGAGACTTCCAACGTCCATACAATGAAGGACTAAAGTGCTCTGTACATACGAAACCCATTACACAAATACGCATACACACCTCTCTATCTGATCAAATCAATTTAAACGAGTAGTTCATATGGCAATTCCTTCACAGAAAGTGCACACAATTCCTCCAACACGAACGCCATCTTTTCATCATTACTCTTTTGACTTTCCACCCATATACGGACGTGATAAAATGCGCCAGAGATTCTGGTTAACAGAGGCAGAGAAGCACCGATAGGACTAAGAAAAGAGAACAGTCGACGCGAGAAGTGAGCTTGGCTTCCTCATATCGTTGCTGACTAGTGCTGTAGGACAGAGGAAGGACGTGAAATAACTGGATATTCTTGAGCGAGTGGGTTGAAATCACAGGAGTTGAAGTAAAAGTTGCTACTCTCAATTCATCAATTTAAAAATGCACTCTGACAAGTGAGGTCACTGAGCGAAATGATCAGAGATCATTTTGGGCGTCCTTGCACCGTTCTAAGGCCTCCTTCAGGAACCGGCATCTGAAAATCGAAATCAGCATTTAAATGAGTAGAACTTTTACAAAGTCGTTCATGACTCGTGAGAGTCCTGTCTAGTTTAGGGATCAGGACTGCTAATACCACGTGACACAGTAAAGAATAGGGGGAAATGTCTCATCCATGGTTTTAAAAAATGTTTACTTTCACAATTCCTTTCTATAAATAAGGCAGTTTGAATAAAAGTACATCTTCATCATAACTTTCGGTGTTTCGGCCTACAGGTCCATCTTCCTCCTGCATCATACATAAGCCATAATGAATCAGTGTAATAAAACCTTTCCAATGGAATATGCAGCTAGATTTGGAAAAGGATTCAAATAAGTAATTTTAAAAAATACAAACAAAACTGTCTTATTATTCCTATTTTCAATTATTCCCTTCCCAGTCCTGCAGGCTACTACTGGCATCTTTCAATGCCAGTGGCAGTTTCAGTGGTTTCAGAGAACCAAGGCCCACTGCCGGATCCGGCTCCTCGACGATACGCATCTTTGAGAAAGAATGCCCCAAGGAGTATCCACCCGGATCGAAGCTCCCCTTGACCCCGAATCCCGCTTGCCAGACCACACCATAGAGCAGTGGTTCCCAACCCTTTTTGCCCGGTGGCACCCTTTCAATTTCTTTTTTCGTTGGCGGAACTCTTGGACTCCCCTTCAAAATGCCTTAGGGGGCCGGTCGGTAGTCAGTAGACTTCATAATAGACCCTAGATTGTGGGGGGGTCTCGTATGAACCACCTTGCAAACTGACTGACGGACGCGTTGGGAAACACTTGACTCTAGCATCCCAGAATGGAACGTAATATAAAACAAAGATTCAGAACAAATGAGCCCTGACAATTGCCTTCCTTTCGCCTATTTTCAAGTTACGGTTTTCAACCCAACATTGTCCCATTAAGGAAAATTCACTGGTGTATAGTATACCTTATCTAATAACTGCTGCAGCTTATGCACAACGGCGTCTGGTGTCGAAATAAGAATCATGCGATTTTTTTCTCCTAGGCTAACAGGGCGGCAGGCAACGGGATACGTGCATAGGAATGTTGTTCATGGTCTTTCTCGTATGCAATGCCACGCAACTTCATCCTCGGCATTAATGGCAACTCTAGGAAAGATATGACGCCATATCTCAAGGGAATTTTTTCATTTTTCCTCTTTGGAATAGGACAGTACCCCAATGTCCTTGCGAGTTCATGAACCACCCCTGTTGCCAGGCCGGGAAGACAGACTTCTGTCTCGGTCTCGAGAAAAACTTGTTAGTCGTGCCCTCCAGCATTAGTTTTTCTCCTGTTTTCCCCTCCCTGGGGGGGGCAGTCAGGAAAGCTCGACACGATCATGACTGGAATCGTTCCTCCACGTGGACGGAATTCTTTATTCTCGTACGGAACTAGGATACGAGGGAATCCTCGAGGCAGGAATGTTTTCCCAGCTGGATAACGAAACCGCACACCCACCCCCGTCTGGCCTCCAGTCTCCTCCCTCCCCTTAACTCAAGACAGATATGTCCAAAAACGTCCTCAGGGCGAGCCGGGAGGGGGGGGGGGGTTGTTTACCCGTTGAAGCAGCATGGAAAACACCTCCCCAATCCCCTTTACGAAGATAAATGATCATTCCATTCAAACTGTGAAAGGACTGGGCTAATCCCACCCCCATCCCCGCCTACTAATAAAAGTCGACCTCCTGTAAATGCCTCCGATCAGTTGTCGAGGGTCTGGGTAGTCCAGAAAGGGCGTCAAGGCGGAAGCGAAACGAAATTAACAGGAAGCTCATGCCGAGGTTATACAGCAACCTTGCCCGAAATTAAACATCATTGGGGGTCAACAAAAGCATGTATTACGATGGATGGCGGAAGTGGACTTAACTTGCACGCACAAACAAATGATGGGGTTATGCAAGCAACCCCTCGGGAAGGTCTAATGGGAATTATTACATCACTTCCACGTCAGCCTCTTCACGTTCAAGGTCGAATCAATACATTTATCATTTTCCGGATCACGGAACTTTTAATAGCGACTGCTTAAGAGCTACGAAGACCCCCCAAGTCAGACGTGTACGGTTCCAATATAAGGAAGAGGAGCAATCAAGGCATCGCATAATGGTGAGTAATAAAGAAAAAAAAAACTCACCGCGCCTTAGATGCTCTTCACCAATACGGACCATCATTTGTCAAATGATGCCAAGATGCGAATTCAGACCATGAATCCATTTCTGTTCGATAAGCGTCGTCAGTCTTGGTAATGGGGATAGGATCGACGGGGGCATCCTTCTTGTAGCCACAGGACGTGATGGCATAATTAAGGTCCCCATTGCTATCCCAAAACTCCTGTCCATTGCTGCGGTAACAAATGCAGAACTCGATGCGGTTGTGCTTCAAACTTGGTGGAATTTTGAAGGCAAAGCGGAAAGTGTCATAAAGACTGATGACACAGGTACCCTCTGTGCCGCTGGTCACATATGACGCTGGAATGTCCTCAAATGTCTTCCAGTCGTCAAACGTGACCCGAACCATGACAGACTTCTCAAAATGCAAGTTTTTAACTTTCACTGTCCCCGTCACCTCGTCCTCGTCGTCCTTCACTATCACATTCTCCAACGAGACGCAGCAGGTCTCCAATTTCTCGCGGAACTGAACATAGTTCGCAGCCGGCTGAGGGAAGGTCACTTCCCAATTGGTGGAAGCGACATCGGCTAGCACTCCTTGGGTGATCTGCTCAAGAAATTCTGGACTCCAGCGAGGGGGACAATCAGAAGGCTCCGTCATCACCTTCACTTCTGTTAAATTCATACCCTTGTAATCTGCAAAGACGACTCTCTTTTTCGCCTTGACGGGCGAAGTTGGAGCGCTGTTATCCTCGTCCGTAAGGTCCTCATTTTCGGGAAAGGAGGGACTCCTTATGATTATGCATGGTCTGAGGCCATTTCTGTCCATATTCTTCATGTTCTTCACGAACGTGTCTGTTGTATTGCATCTTTCGAGCAAGCCACTCCAAGTGTTCCCCGGAAAGGCACTCACGTGATTGCGATAGTTAGTGAAGAAAGTAAAGACAGGGCTATGTCCAAAGATGGGAGGGCTGGACCCCAGGAAGAAGTCAGTGGGCATTGTGAGGCTCGTGGCTGTCATTGGGGCATAGGCACGTAATGGGATTACACGTTCACTTTGACTAGCTGGGAATGAATAGCTTCACCACATCTGCAAATAAGAATAAACAATCTCATTTGCTGCTATCCGTCGTTACTACATCTGAGACATCAATGAAGCATTCGCCTGTTCACATTCAATCCCTAGCGGCTACTGCATGGCTTGCATAAGAATACGCATGCGCAACGTCTTACTGGCTATATGGATGGATTACACGAGATTTGCAAGGCTGCAATCTCGGAGTGATGAAAGTCACATCCTGCCAAATAAGTTTGAGGAATAACGGTGTTGAATAACGAATCTCACATGGTTGCCGCAGGCCCGTCTCACAAAGGGCATGTTTCTTTACGCGTCACCGAAACACGACACACGCCACTACTTACTGCAAACTCGCAAGCCAATTCACGACTTTAAAACGGTTAATAACCACTCTTCGTGAGGAATGAACAGGACAATATACTCGCAGCACCGAAGCGCGCGGCGCCGATGCGGACACTAACCTCTTCCATGCAGCTGAAGGAGAGAGGAAAGAGAAGGGAAACGTAGGAGAGCCGAGGAGAGTGATCACGTGCACAAGGCCCGAGGACCAATGAGAGGCTTGTGTACAGCGAGTGACACGAACACCCACCCAATCAGAATCTAGCCGATCACTATATTCCATGCCTGACCGGCACTCTTCGTTCATCCGGTCCGTGTCATCTAGGACTGCTCTCATGGAGGCATCGTGTTTAAGCAACATAAATTATCAATGTTTTCTTGTTTACTGGGCCTGTGACTGTCGTGCCAATAATTAGTAACTGCTTTGATTTTTACTTTATATGGCAATCGCACTGATGGATAGCGCCCCGGAGGGCATCTTCCGGCATGTCAGCGAATGAAACCATGAATCACGGTCGCGAATCGACGCCAATATTGGATGCGTCAAGTCAACAAGCCCCAGCGATCATAATGGTCTTTAAACCACTGTACAACGTTAAAAATTGGTCAAAAATACTCTCGCTAAAAAAAAAAAAAAACAGTTTTGTTCATTAAGTGAGTTCTTATTCTGTTGCCTTCTGTTGAAGACAACGATTTTTGCGGAAATATTCATTCTCATATTGTACACATTTCAAGAGTTATTCATATTGACTGGAAGCCGTATAAATTCTTTTTTTGAGCCTGCAGTCGAGCTTAGTATCTCAATTGAAAGCATAGAAAAAGAAATCAATATTGCACTTCCACTCTGGCCGTATTTTCTTTCAGCCGTCAAGACGGACGCATATCCAGTTACCTATAATTGAGAATAAGAGGCTGAGGATTGCATTCCAGACTTGACTGCCTATTGCAGGCCGTGATGGGGGAATTAAATTCGCGTCGAAGCGCCCTCTTTCCCAACTGCTACAGTACAGGCATATCTGTGCAAAAAGCCTCATCTTGTGCACAGAATATAATATACAAAGTGATTTTTTTGGCATATTTCTGAAAAATGGCGATTACGCCATAGTACGACCTCCCAGGGGTTATGCAATTGCAGAGACACGGCAGTGTCTGGAAATGGGCTTTAACGACGATGAGGCGTCCGAGCAATCGAGGAATTACGGCGATAGCATTGGCCAATGCAAAGCGAAATACTTCAGAAAATCCAGACACTAAGGCAATACTGTGGAAGCAGAGTGTTCCAGCTTTACTCAAAGAAACCGCTGATTGCTCACATTTTGATATGTAAAAAAAAAGATATGGAGTTATGGGCCGATATGATCAGTTTCTTGGCTATGGTGAAGAGAAAACATTCTGCAGCAACTCGGGAGACTTGCCCGCTTCCATGGTATAAAAAAAAAAAAAGACACCATGTGTTATTTGCGAAAGCGCTCAGGCAGCGACACCAAGCACTGCTGCACGTAGTGAGGGCAGCGACAGACACACAAAAAAGTTCCTGAATGCTAGCGCCTTGCAGCAGTTCACGTCCGGAATGCAGCACTAGATTAAATACCACATATCCGATTTAAAAAAAAAAACTTTCAAGAGGAAATCTTGAAAGAGGACGAATTTTTTAAACTGGACGAGCTCTTCCCCTTCCTTGTCTGTCCTTCCTTTCCTTCCCTTTCTTATCTTTCGTCATTTCTTTCGCTTTGTTTCCCTTTCGGATCAGTTAAAGAGCGCCCGAGGGCGACCTGGAAGTAGTCGAGGCAACGGTTCGGTTGCCGTGCGGAAACAAGTTCTTTCGACAATGTCATATCAGACGTGGGGTCACCCGATGCCTCACATGCGCTGCATCATGTGCCTACGTGACAGCGCCTCTCTTTGATAAAACTTCTAAGGCTACCGTGTTGGCTCCAGTTGCACAAAACGGACCAAAAGTTGATGACTTTCAATTCCGAGTGAGGGGGGGAAAAGACTGAAACGCGATTGCGAAATTCTCTCGATGATGAGCGTCTTGAAAAAAATGGATGGAAAATGAAAGTGATGCTGCCCATCACATGATCCTGTCATCACTTCTCTCGGTTTCAGAAAACAACTACGAAAGCTTTTCACCATGGAGAATCACTGTGATTACTTTCTATGGCTGTAAATTATAAAAAAATTTGTAGCGAGTGAAGGTAAATTCGTGAAAGTAGGAAGAAAATTTACCAGAGAGAATTGCAAAGATGAAATCAAAGTCTTCTGTGAACGAGTTGTAGGCATGTCTACGTTTACCTAAAAGATAATCTTAAATACTTTTTTTTCCGCGTACGATCGACCGGCTACGTACAATCTCTCTCTGCATCACTCTCCACTAGCATTATTGAGAAGTTTTCAACCGATACCTGTAATGACGAGCGACGAAACGATGACTTTGATGACGAAGAGATGAAACGAGCGACGAGAAAGCTCCTCATAGACACGGGCTCAGCAGCAGTATAGCGAGATTAGGGAATGAATAGGGTGTCTCACTGGGTGCTACGCTGCAGGGATGGGAGATCGATAGTCTTCCAGTCTGAGCCTGACTCTTGAGTCCCTCTCGCACTATTTTGTTCCTCTTTCATATAGGGATCCCAGGAGAGTTCCATGCCCCCTGACGGGCGTTGAAATCCTCTAATCTTTTCGACAAATGCGCCCCCGAGTTATCACTGGTGTTCGCTTGAGGCTCAGCAGCGGTAATATATACGAACTCTAGGAGAGGTGACCGCTGTTTCTGGCCAGCAATCACCATACGATTCACCGACTATGAAGCGCTGGGGATCATGACTTCCTTCCGTTGCAAATAGAAAAACCGTTGAATGACAGGAAAGAGTTGGGAAGATGATGCTTCCGTCGATATGGCTAGTCGAGCTATTCCCTATCGCTGTCACATCAGGACTGTCTGCCGCCTCCAGAAGAGCCGTTGGCTTTGCAAGGAGGAGATAGGGGAAAGGAAATCCCCTCTCTTCCACCGAATTCCTTTCCCGCCCTCCCCCCGCGAGAAAGCCTCTAGAGGCAGTATAAAGTTCTACACTTTGTTTTGCTCTTGTGTCCTTTCTGTTTTCAATGAGGCTCCTTCAAGCATATAACTTTCCCACGGCCTAGTACTTCACCCTACCCTTCTCTCCCTCGCCCTGGCCACCGTATTCTTTGACATTGTGGCTTGAAAGACAATAACTTAATAATATGAAGGGATATAATGGAAGAGAGTAAAAGTCGTATGATAGAATTGAGAGAAATCCACGGGGAACGCTAAACTTTTATGTTTCACATGTTTACAAGACGATTCCCCATAGTATGTCTTACCTCTGGGATGAAAGAAAGTGGTACCTTGGAAGAACTTTCCGAAGAACTCCCCTCGTACATTCACGCAATTGTCCACCTTTGAAGGAATACCTCAAAGGTGGACACAGTGGATACAAATCCACTGTGAACCTCATCCTATGACTCAAAAGATAACATAGAAACCCTTCACAACTGGGAGCAGCCTGAGCCTGATTGACAGGTGATGGGGAGGGGAGGCTGGGCGAAAGGACGAAGGGAGGTGGTCATGAGTGCGGCTTTGGAAAATTGCTAGAGATGCAGGTCCTACCTTTCACAAAAAAAAAACGAGATTGCAAAGAAATCGAACAGAGATTAAAGTCGGACGAAACGGAACTGAAACAAAACCTAAAGTGATATACTCAGTTTGAAGATAGGTCCCTAAAGCTTTTGGAAGGGTCAAAAGCGTCATCGCAGACAGTTCCGGCTGTCAGAAGAGCAATCGAAACCTCGCCAAAGAATATTATGGTTAAAGGGATGATGAGGAAGGGGACTACGAGTCTTCAATGGAAGCTATGAGAGAAAATGCTCGATTTGTACAGAACGCCTTGAAAGGTGATGGTTTGTTTCGAAATTCCTTGAAATTCAACCCCGAATAAGAGCCAATTTGAAAGCGCACAGTGGAGACACAAAGTTTTCATTTTGCACATGATATTATATGATGATAAAAAGTGTAAGGCATTTTTTGCTTTCCGTCAAATTTTGCGGGTTTTGTTTAGAGGTCGGTGAGGAAAGTATTTTGCATCATTCTTTACATTCGAGTAATGCCAGCACATACTTTTCTTTTTACATTGTTCAAGAGTTTATTGCGAGGGATTCCCCTCCCCCCCCCCTTTTTTTAAGCGATACTAACTGCAAAGTTTCATAAGTGAATGCGATGTTGAGTTAGAGTTAAGTATTTCAGTATGAATCGGATAATAAAAAATCTGTTCTGACATTGCATTCATCATATGGCGGAGATCTCTCAGGCTTCAATCTGATGCAATAAATTCAATTGTTACGGCCTCCAGAATGTTTGCTAACTAATAATTTATTCATAATGGGGTTTTATGAGAGCTTCAAGCAAAACAAGCCGCCGAACTCCTTACGGATCGACCTGCGTACAAAAAAAAAAGTGAAAGATTCCTTGGATGAGATGGAAGTGTTTTGAGTTATCGCCACGGTGAAAACTCAAAACACCCCTCCGACTTCCCCCCACCCCCGCCCCGCCCCGCCCCGCTCCATTAAGGTAATCCCCCAGCCAA